AAGCCAGGGAAACCAGGAGACCAGGGAAACCAGGAGGCAGAGATGAGAAGGGAAAAAAATTCCAGGAATAGGCATAGAGATAATAGTTGAATCCACAGGAGTTGATTAGATCACTAAGTGAAAAAATATAGAGGGAAAAGAGAAGAAAAGAGATCCAGCACAAAGCCTTAGGAAAAACTCACTACTGGCATCACCTGAAAATCCAAAAAAAAAAAAAGACACTGAGAAGGAACAGTAAAAAAACTCTGGAGTAGAACTAGCAGACAGCAGTAACATGAAAACCTAGAGAGAAGTCTGTATCAAGCAGAAAAGGATGATCAACAGTGTCAAGGATTGCAGAGAGGTCAAGAAGAATGAGGAGTAAGAAAGGGCCATTAGATTTGGTGATTAAAAGAACACTGGTAATTTTGGTGAGAGTAGTTTCAGTTGAAAGATGAGGTTGGCACTGCTGGTCTATATTCCAAAAATATCCCAAAAAATGGGAAAAGAACTTATTTGTACAAAAATATTTATAGCAGTTCTTTTTGTCATGGCTAAGAACTGGAAATCAAAGGGATGCCCATCAGCGGGAAAATGGCTAAACAAGCTGTGGTATATGAGTGCAATGGTATATTATTGTGCTATAAAAAATGATAAGCAGGATGATTTCAGAAAAATTTGGAAACATTTACAGAACTGATGCATAGCAAACTGAACAGAACTAGGACAACATTGTACACAGTAACAGCAATATTGTTCAATGAAGAACTGTGAATGACTTAGCTATTCTCAGCAATACAATGATCCAAGACAATCCCAAAGGACTCATGATGAAGCATACTATCTGCCTCCAGAGAAAGAACTGACATTAATTGAATATAGACTGAAGCATGCTATTTTTCACTTTCTTTCTTTCTTTTTTTTTCTTTTACTCAAGTCTACTTGTACAAAATGACTAATACGGAATGTTTTACATAATTGCACATGTATACTCTATATCTGATTGCTTATCATCTCACAGAGGGAGGGACACAATTTGGAACTCAAAACTTTAAATAATTTTTTTTTAATTTTTTAAAAGAAAGATGACATTGAGAACCAGAATGTAGAGATAAGAAGGGCATGAGAGGACTGGAAGTGGAGACATGAAGTAAACAGTCTTCTCAAGTAATTTAGCCAAAAAAATAAAAGATGCAGGATGATAACTAGCAGGGACAGATGGATCAAGTGAGGGCTTTTTGAGAATGAGGGAGACATGAGCATGTTTGCAAGCAATAGGAAAGCAGCTTATAGACAACGAAAGACTGCAAATAAACAAAAGAGTAATGGAGATAATCTGCTAGAAAAGATAAGACAGAATGGGATTACTTATGCACATAGAAAAGTCTTCCTTAGCAAAGAGTAGGGTCACCTCTTCTTGTGAGACAGGGTAATAGAGTAAGGAATCTCAGTGATATGAAATGGAGAGAAGAGGAAGCTCTTAGCAAATAGCCTCAAGTTTTTCAGTGAAATATGAAGAAAGCATCATAGCTGAGAAGATAAGGAGTGAGGTTCAGAGGGATGAAAATAATTTAGAAAAGCAGATGCAGTAAGTGGGATAGCAAGTCTATTAGGAAGATATAAAGGGACTGCCACGCCATAGTGAGGATGCAGCTGAGATTGTATAACACAGAGTTCTTGGGGGTCTAGTCAGCATGGTTTTATAATTTTCTCCATCTTTTTTCAGCATTCAAGTAAGAGTGAAGGCAATAGATGGTGGGAGTGATCCTAGGGCTGAAGGTTGACAATAGTTTATTTGACAGGATAAGGGGGAAAGGGACTCAAGAAGAAGACAGTACAGAACTAAATTGATTCACTAATGGATAAAGATGAGGAAGAGAGGAAAATAGTGTAGGGGTAATATCCTGGGAAAGAACTGACAGGTAGAGACGTCACAGTGAGAATAAAGAAAATGTTTTGTGAATGCAAGGCAGAGGTAAAGGTAGAATGTCAACAAAACGTGATCAGATAAAGGAAAATTAGACATAGAAGTGGAGCATTTTGGAATGATAACAAGATAAAGAGTATGATCATCTCTGTGTTGGATCCGAGATAGGGTGGGTATTGGAAATGAGTGAAGTAAGAAACTAGTAGGTTAGGGTGTTTGAAGGAGTAAAGTCCCCCAGTATAAGGAAAAAGTTAGAAAGCTGAAAGCTAAAGAGCTGGAGACTGGGGAGGGAATTCCAGGTGTGAGTATGCTATGGAGTTTAGGTAGCTAGAAAGTAGGTAGCCATCACATCCTTGGGAGGCAAATCATTTGATCCATTTAATCACCTGAGCAGTGACCACTCCACATTCATCACCTTGAAGGTGCAACTTGTGAAAACCTTTATTACCTCATGCCCACTGATAAACACAAAATATTAGTACCTTAAGAACAGCCAAATAAAAGGAAAGACATTATTAAGAGTAGGAAATAGAAAGCTAACACAATTTTCAGGCCCAGGAGAAAGAAATAAAAAGGTATTAAACAAGCAAGTGCCAGGAACTATGTTAAGGGCTTAACAAATATTAGCACATTTGATCCTCATAACCACCTTGGAAGGCAGATTCTGTTCCCATTTTACACTTAAGGAAATCGAAGAAGAAGGAAGTTAAGTGATTTACCTAGGGACACACAGCTAGTGAGGCCACATTTGAATTCAGGTCTTCCTAACTCCAGGCCCAGCATTCTTTTCCTTGTATCACCTAGCTGCTAGTTGAAGAATTAGATAGTATCTAATATTAAAAATACTCACAAGTGTAAGAGTAGGAGGGGAAAAATAATCACTGTCATCAGCATAAGCTCCTGTCCATCTTCCAGAGGATGGTATCTATAACCAGCTTCTCTCAGAATTAATATTTAGTTAGGTATATATCAACTATGTTATTCTATTTGCAAGAGTTCTGTTTATATTCTCCTACTCCAGAGAAAATACTTAAGGGCATAGTTAGGTTCCCCCCTTTTATTAAAAAAAAATTATTTCTATTTTTTTGTTTTTATACTACCTAGAGTTCTTTCCTTCCTTCCTCCCACCCAAAAAGCCATTCTTTATTTGAAAATAAAAATATTTCTTTAAAAAAGAAAGTAGAAAATTCAGCAAAAATTTGCCAATACACTGAAAAATATCTAACAATATATACAATATTCAACAATTCTCCACTTTTACAAAAAGTTAGGGTTTAAAAGGAAAAAGATCTCTTCTCTCCTTTTGTACTAAACTTATTCTTTATAGTTTTGTAACATTTACTTTCAACTGTTTTGTAGTTCTTGTTCTGTCCATTTACATTGTTACAATCATTTGTGTTTTCCTGGCTCTGCTTACTTTACTTTGTATCAGTGCAGTTCTGTGTTTCTCTTTATTCATCATGTTTTATCATTTCTTACAGCACCATAATATTCCACTACATTCCTGTACCACAGTTTATGTAGCCATTCCTCAACTGATAGACACCTACTTTGTTTCCAGTTCTTTACTAGGAAAAAGAGTGCTGCTATAAATAGTTTGGTGTATATGGAATCTTTCTTATTGTCAATGCCCTCTTTGGATTATCTGCCTAGCAGTGGAATATCTAGATCGAAGGGTATGGATAGTTTAGCCACTTATTTAATTCCAAATACCTTTCCAGAATGGTTGTACTAATGCATAGCTCCACCAACAATGCAGTAATGTTACTGTGAGCTCCCCCTTCATACATTTACCTAATGATCAAATTATGATTCATCCTAGCCAAAGAGCTAAATACAATGTTTTTCCCCCAATCGATCAGGCCCAAATAAGTCCGAACTCCAACAATTCAAATTATTTTTCAGAAGTTCGTAAAAGTAAAATGTAATTCAAAAGTACTTTTATTAAACATTTTCTTGGAGTGACCTCACCATGAGGCAAAGAGAAGCATTGTTATCATTTGCCCTTACCAACTACACAGACACAGAAGCACAGGAAATTCTGAAGGGTGTTATGTTTGTGTTACTGAATTCAATAATTTAGTATTTTACAAAATTAATTTCATAATTAAGAAAATAACATTATCACAAGACACTCAAAGAAGATACCAAATTTCCATTTCCTAGCTGATATAATTTAAAATAACATAGATTAAGATATAGCTTTGGGGTTTACTCCTTTCTGGGCCTCATCTATGAAATGATACCAGATAAGTTCTAAAATATCTTCCAGCTCTAAAAGCTTAGGGTTCATTGACTTTACAGTAAGAGCCTGACTAGGCAGATGACTTGTAAGTTACTTTGACTGCCAATGTCTGATCTCATTTGTAATCAATAGAGATATCACTGGTTAACATTCTCAGAATAAGGAACAGACTGATGCCTTGAAACACCAAACAAGGCCCTTACCAACGCACAATTGACTACTTCATACTTTAAACTCTGGTATCACCTTTCTGGCTAAGAAAAATCAGCATTCCCCTTCAGAACACACACAAATCTCAACATGACCCAATAATCTCTCTGCCATATATTACTCTTTTAAGTATTAATTAATGAGGAACTTCTCTTGGGATCTGGTTAGAATCAGAAAGAGAGGTGAAGAATTAATCTAGGGATGTTCAGTACATTAGCCCTAGCCCCAACGAAAAGCCATTCTCTTGCAACTGTCTCACAGCCTAATGAACTATATACAACATACCCATAGCATTATACTCCCTTCTTTTTTTCTCTAGAACCTCCTACTCCTGCTGAGGGGAACAAGCATCTGTTTCCCACTGCATCTTCACCATGCTGAAACAGAAGCAGCACCTGTAGTAGCAAGTATATTTCCCTTCCAAGAGTAACACTATGATAGGATGGGAGCCAAAGTTGCCAGAATTTTTCTCTAGTCCTGGGGTTTTACTATCTCAAATTCTGCCTAGCCCCTAACAATAGGCTGAGCCAACATAAACATCCTCTATGTTCCAACCAGTGCGACTTTTGCTTCCTTTTCCTGACAACAAACCTTATCAAATTAATTCAGTTAACTGATTTCATGCCTGTCTCTTTCCAGGAATACAGAGAATCCGGCAACTTGCACAAAACACAAGATACTTCAGAAACAGACTGAATGAAATGGGTTTCATCATTTACGGCAATCAAGAATCACCTGTTATTCCCCTTCTCCTTTATTTACCAAGTAAAGTAGCGTAAGTATTAAAGTATCTTTCAAAGTAACATGTAAATATTGAGATATGGTAAAATAATGCTAAGCCTCTGACTCCAATCATATTATTCAATATAGGACTATATGCTTCAAATGAAATAATATAAATTCATAAGTTGCTTTATGTGTGAACTACCAAGAGTCAATGATTATTTCCTGATTATCTGTTCAATAGCAGTTATTTTTTTTCCGGGGGGGGCGGTTAGGAAATGGAGTTAAGTGACTTGCCCAGAGTCACACAGCTAGCAAGTGTCAAGTGTCTGAGGCCAGATTTAAACTCAGATCCTCCTGACTCCAGGGGCTGGTACTCTATCTACTGCACCACCTACCTGCCCCCTCAACAGCAGTTATTTCAAAAATAGAAGTAGCACTATATTGGAGGATGGTGCCCAAAATTCAAATATCCAACTATCCACAACTTAATAACCTATGTGGTAACCTTGAGCAAGTCATTTTAAAACATCCACATGTTAAGAAGGTATTCTTGTGAACTATTCTATGAAGCAAAGTAGACAAGTATGATTAAAGAGTATTGAGGTGAATATCTACAGATAGAAACAGAAGCAAATTATAATGAAAGTATACTATAGACCACCTGGACAAAAAGAAGAAACAGAAGAGAAGTTCAGGAAGTTAAATCACAAGCCTGGCACAGAGGCCTATTCTAAAGAGTTTTTAGAATGCTATGGTTTTTTTTAAAGTTGTTTTTCTTTACAATGTTTTTGTCTGTATAAATTATCCTCATGACACTGCTCACTTCATCCTGTATCAGTTCTTACAGGTCTTCCCAGTTTCCTCTAAAACCGCCCATGCCATAATTTCTTACGGCACAATAACATTCCATTACATTCATATACTCTAATTTGTTTAGCCATTACCACAGCAGTGGTACCCCCTTAGTGTTCAGGATTTGACTACTACAAAAGGATTTACTATAAATATTGTCATAGATATAGGTCCTCTTCCTCTTCTGTTGTTATCTTTGGGTCAAAAGTCACAGTTTAGTAATTTTTTTCAGTACGGTTTCAAACTGCTTTGCAGAATGGCAGAACCAATTCACAGCTCCACCAACAGCATAATAGTGTATCTATTTTCCCAATGGCCCACCAAAATTTATCAATTTCCACTTGTCATCTTTGCCAATCTGATGACTGTGAGGTGAAAGTTTAGAGCTGCTTTAATTTTCGTTTCTCTAATTATTAGTGCTTTGAACGGTTTTTTATATGATTGTTGATAGCTTGGATTTCTTTCTTTGAAACTGCCTGTTAATATCATTTAACATTTAACAAATAACATTTGACCTTTATCTGTTTAGGAAAGGATCTAATACTCATAAATTTGCAGTAGTTCTTTTTTACATATTTTGGATACATCTGGATTTTTATGAAAAAATTTTTTCCCACTTTACTGTTTCTCCTCCAATTTTAACGGGGCTGGTTTTGTTTATCAAAAGTTTTTTTTTCTAATTTTATATAATCAAAATTGTATATTTTATCTACCTGATTCATCATGAACTCTCCCCCTATCCACAGATCAGAAAGATATTATCTTTTTTCTTCTCTAATTTATTTTATGATATTCTTTATATCTACAGCATGTATCAATTTGAAGCTTATTTTATGATTTGAGATTTTATGGTCTGTATATGGTATATGATTTGAGACTAAGCCTAATTTCTAACAGACTTTCCCTAGAAATTTTTATCAAATAGCAAGTTCTTACCCCAGTAATGGGTTTTGTTTTGTTTTTATTTATCAAACACTACTATGCTGCATTCATTTGCTTCTGTACGTTGTATACCTAAATTGTTCCACAGATCATCCATTCTTTTAAACAGGACTAATTAGTTTTGATGATTACTGCTTTGCAACATAGTTTAAGATCTGATACTGCTTCATTCCTTTTTTTAATTTTCCTTGAGATTTTTTATCTTTTTTCCTCCAGATAATTTTGTTATTTTTTTCTATCTTCATAAAATAATCCTTGGTATAGTTTGATTGCTATGGCACTGAATATGATAATTCATATAATATTTTCATGTTTATTATACTAACATCACTACTCATAAGCAATTATTTCTTAAATTATTTAGGCCTATATTTCTGTAAAAGGTCTTTTATATTTGTATTCACATAAGCTCTTGGATGTGTCTTGGTAGACAGATTCCCACATACTGTATACATATTCTAATTAGTTTTGAATGACAATGATCTTTAGAGGAGAAAAGGCAGAAAATAAAAATTAATACGAGATTTAAATCTAAGATAAATAGAAATATGAGACAACTTTTGCCTGCCCTTGATTTCACCTCAATAGACCAAGATGAATTACAACTACATTACTAAACGAACTGTCAGATGAGACTGTTACAATCTTGGAGAATGCAAGAAATTGAAGAAGGGAAGATGACATTCAAATATTTTTTTAAAAAGGGAAAATAATAGAATCTGCAAGTCTATATGCCAGTGAATTTGGTTTCACTTCCTATTAAAATTATAGAATGTGTTATTAAAAGGACGGTTAGTGAATATTTTTGAAAAGAATTGGTTTTAAAGGGACAGAGCCAAAATGATGTGGTAGAGGGAGTATTCCAGATGAACTCCCCCAATATTCACCTCCACACAACTTTAAAATAACCCATCAGACTTCCAGTACCAAGATAGCAGAGTGAGTAAGGAATGCTCTGAAGCCCTTCCAAATTCCCCTCCAAAAAACTAGAAAACTACCTCAGAATTAGTCTGGGGTTATGGAAGCAGCTTACTAGCCCAGCAGAAAAGGTCTGTCTGACTGGGGTGGGATGGGAACAAGGTGCAAGGATCAGAAGTGCCAGTCTCACAGCAGAGGGCCCGCAGCAAGGCTCCAAGTCTGAGGCAACCCACCAATAAGGCCCTGCCCTCCTGCAAACCAGCAGCTACCTACCCAAGTGAACAGTCTGTGTAGCACAGAAAGGCCCCACACCAGCAACCTAATCCCCAGCACAAACTACTAGCAAAGCCTTGCTCCCATTGCTGACCAGTAGTGAAGCCCTCCCCCCTGGGGCTGACCAACAGTGAGAACATGCCCCTGGGGCATACCATCAGGAAGACCTTGTTTCCATAGCAACTCAGCAGCAGGTTCCTACACCTGGGGCAGACCAACAGCTGAACCCCACAACCCACAGGAGAAGCCTATCCTCCACAGACAGCAAGCAGCTAAGCTCTGAAGCCTAGCAGTAAGCCAGCAGTAAGGCTAAGAGACCAGCACAGAAAACTTGGGACAGCACAGGACCAGAGCCCAACTGACATAAAATTACCAAATTACCAAAAAATAGAGTAAAAAAAATTAGCCAAAAAAAAAATTTAAAAAAAGTTTGACTATAGAAAGTTAATACGGTGATAGAGAGTACCAAGAAGAGGACAATAATGTCAAAATGGCTACATGTGAAGCCACCAAAAAAAAAATGTAATTTGGTCTTAGGCCCAAAATGAATTCCTAGAAGAGCTTAAAAAGGATTTTTTTTCCAGGTTAAATGAGCTCAGAATTTATTAGGAGGCATCATGTAAAACCAGCAGCCCCGGGTGAAGGGGTTAGATAGTGTAAGGAAGTGGCTGTACTCACCTATCAATCTGTTGCTGGTATTCACAGATGTCACGTTTTACCAAGGAGCTGCTGCCTCAGACACCCTGACCAATCTACCTTACAGCAGCCATCCTGGCTCGCTTTTGTCTTTCCCCCCCAGGATCTACTTGCTTCTTCCTTCCCAGCTGCCTTTGGATGCAGAGGCCAATGCTGGCCAAGCATCTTAAGTGGGGCTCGGGAGGAGCACAGGAAGATCTGCCTGCCAGTCTTAGTTCCCCAAAGAGCTCTGAATGAGCCAAGACATGCGAAACCAAGACAATTAAACTCTGCAAGGCAGGGCTTTATACACAGAATTGTACTGAGAACCTAAAAGCTCCCATTCAACTAAGGCAACATTGATCTAGTGTGGGCAAAGCACTGGGAAGGAGATACCAAGTGAAGCTAAAACGAAGTTCGCTCCTGACCACCTGGACCCCACAGTAAGGAAGGGGATCATCTAACATGTCCCATACTCCCCTCTATAAAACAGAATCGTGTATGATACAGGCAAGAAAGAGGGGCGGAGATTCAGTCAGGGAAAGCTTCCTGGAGGAGGCAGAATCTGAGTTGGGCTTTCAAGAACAGGTACAGGGATTAAAAAGAATTTTTAAAAAGCAAATTAGAGAAGAAGAAAAATTCAGAAAAGAAATGAGAGAAATGCAAGAGAATCATGAAAAAAATAGTCAAAAGCATAGGAAAAAATATGCAAAAATTTGCCAAGGAAAATAACTCCCTAAAAAATAGAATTGGCCACATGGGAAAGTATAAAAGCTCACTAAAGAAAATAATTGCTTAAAAATTAGAACTGAACATATGGAAACTAATGACCCTATGAAATATCAAGGTACAATAAAACAAAATCAAAAAAAGTTTTTAAAAAATGGAAAATATGAAATTTCTCATTGGAAAAAGAACTCACCTAGAAAATAAATCCAGGAGAGATAAATATAAGAATTATTGTTCTATGTGAAAGCCATGATAAAAAAAAAACTGACAATATCTTTCAAGAAATTATTAAAGAAAACTGCCCTGATATATTCGAACCAGAGGACAAAATACAAATTCAAAGAATCCACTGATCATCACCTAAAGAGATCCCAAAATGAAAACTCCCAGGAACATCATAGACAAATTCCAGAGTTCACAGATCAAGGGGAAAATATTATACAAACAGCCAAAAGGAAACAATTCAAATATTGTGAAGCTATAGTCAGTATTACACAGGACAATACAGGATTTGGCAGCTTCCACATTAAAGAACCAGAGAGCTTAGAATATGATATACTAGAAGGCAAAGGAATTAGGATTACAACCAAGAATCGCCTACCCAGCAAAACTGAATATAATTTTTCAGGGGGAAAATGGACATTTAGCAAAATAGAGGAC